TTAGGAAGAGGCTAATTGCCTGGCTGCTTCTGAATCACTGACCTGGGAAGTATGCAGCAGCTAAAGTCTGTAAGGTCAGATCGCCAGACTACAGTGCTGGGATTGGGGGGGAAAAAGAGTAACTAAATTCAATTTTTATTACTTTCCAGGAGAAAAACACAGTTCCAAGCTTTATTCTGTCCACTAGCCTAGGTATTCTTCAGACTTCAGATTTGATCCTGCGCATTAACGGTTAGTTTACATTTTGGGACATTTCCCCAAAATTTCCCCATGCATTCCTGCATGCTCTGCTGAAATATAAGTCACCGTTGAACTTAAAAAAAAAGAAATGGTCCTGTATCATGTTATACCTTAGGGCTGTGCATGGCCTGACCACAAAACATGCCAGCTGATCCTGCTTCCTCCCTTTTATACCCTGCAGGACAGGCCTGATCATCCCCAAAAAACTGCTACTGTGTCATATCATATAGGGATGCACCGATATATCGGCCGCCGAAACATATTGGCCGAAAATGGCACTTTATGCTAAATCCAGAAAGTGCCATTTTTGTGCCGACACATCGGCACATCAGTGTATTTTCTCCTCCGCTGGGCGCTGCTCTGTGTCCCAGCGGGGAGGAGAGAAACTGTCACAGGAGGCCAAGTGCTGCGGGAGGAGAGCGATGTGAGTGGCCGGCGTCTCTCCACCCAACAGTCCGGCAGAGCGGTGTGGGGGCTGTCACAGGAAGCTGAGCTCTCCTCCCTGCTCCGTTTGCTCAACCTCCTGTGACAGCGAGTCAGGAAACAGAGCGAGGTACAAACACTCAGTAATCGCTGAGTGTTTGTAAATAATTGAGGACATAGCCTGTTTACTATATCCTCAATTATGAATGAATGGGAAGTGATCAACATCTCCTTCATAATTGTAGTTATAGTAAACGTACTCTGTCTTCATGTTCTCAATGAGCAGGAACACTATACTGAGCTTAGGGTAACGGAGGACGCTAGTGTCCTCCCATTACCCTAAGGAGAACTATGGGGAAAAACACTGACCCCATAGTTCTCCTTTAAGTAAAGGTCTTGTGATCAAATGGTCACAGATGATTTTAGATATGTGACCAATGTAAAGGAATCATGGGAAAGTATTTTCTCAAGCAAGGTGAGTATTTCATGTTGGGGGTGGATAAACAAAGCACAATATAAGGGCTGAAATGCTTCTTCCTCTACTGCAGCGATCACATGTCCACATGCCTAGACTTTTGGTTGTGTGATTGGCGTGATTGTTTTACCCCTTCTACTACTCTGCATCAATCCCACTAAGACTGTTGATTTACAGGTCTGGTGTAAAACAATACAAATAAATCATTGTTGTAATTTTTTTATTGCAGGTGGAAGTTCTGAAGATGGCTTTTCTGCAATCAAGCTCACTGCATTAGGAAGACCCCAGTTTTTGGTATGCTCTCTAGAATGATTCCTTTTTATCTAGCTATATGGAAGTGATGAACTGGAAATACAGTGGCTTTACATTGCTGCCGTATGTAACATCACCATATTGCATTCAGTTTAAGGAGGTTTCGAACACTTGTTTGAAATAGAAATATTACTTTTTCTCATACCTGGATTTGCTGATATTTTCATTTATGTAGTTATTTCTTATCTGTAAGTAGCAATGTGTTTGTGCTGAACGTGTTTGAAGAGGATCAAACGTGTTTACCCACCTTCTGCCCTCTGTGAATCTAACTCAAGCATGTAGCTATGTGCTTGAGGAATGTATTTCCTAATAAGATGCCTGTGTGATTATAGGATTTACACCGTATAGGAAAAATATCCTACTGAAATCAAATGACCCATGGACCCATGAATAGCTCATGTGAGATGGTGAAATGTAAAAAGGAAATCAAAGACCAAAAAGTTAAAAATCAATATGGGTTAAACCAGAGTATCTCCTGAGAAAGTACACATGCAGGCAATAAAAGTAAACATTTTACTGAATTACTTTTTCTTTTTTTAATGTAAAAGTAGTTTGACAATTTGATTTTAACAGGCCACCATTTTTTTACACAGACAGATTGGCTGTTTGACAGACATTCTTAGACTTAATGTGTTTCTTCATTTGTGGGGGTGGGGGGGCTGCAAGCAATGTGGTCTGCTATGGTGGATTTGAGTTACAAGTAGAATAAGTGAAACTGTATATGTCAACAGTGTTTTAGCTTGGTGAATGCATCCTACATTGCTGTGAGGCAACAATATTTTAAAATCAACCATATCATCTCTCGAATGGAGTGACGCATAGGATTTTTGACTCGCCTGTAGAATCATTTTCTTGGGATATAGTACAGGACACAGGAGAAATCAAGATGGAGGGGTTATACATAATTCCTCCCACCACCACAGATCCTCTGTTGCTTGCAAGCGGAAGAGAACATAAAGGGGAGGGTCCTGTACTGTACTCCAAGAAAAAGAATTTACAGGTAAGTTAAAAAAATCCTACATTCTTGATTGTACAGGACATAGGGGAAATCAAGACGTATGGGATGTTCAAAAGCAATAATCGGGGGGTGGGATTGGACTACAACTACTAGTGTGCACAGCATAGAATTAACTCATTCTGCTGCCTGCAGTACTATACTGCCTAAATCAGCATCTTCTGATGCCTGCACATCCACCTTTATAAAACCTAATGACTGTATGAATTGATGACCAACTATCTTTTCTTGATGCATGACCAAAAGGAAATTCCCTTCAGGACAGGGCTACTACCTCAGAGACCCTACTAGCTGAGGTGATGGCTTTAGAGAATCTTACTCATAAAGTTGTATTCCTGTTTTGGAGAGGTTCGAAAGAAGGCTGCTGCAAACAGAAATGCACCATATTAAGATCTCAGACACAGGAGGACGTCTAGGAGGAACTATGTGAGGAACCCCTTGAACAAAGGCCTTTACTAGAAAATGAGAAGCCAAAGGCTCCTGAAAGATTTTACCCTTGATTGTACTCAGGGCTAACTTCTAATACAATTCCGATTGTATAAATGCTAAAATCCTGGCTCACAGAAGAAACGGTGGGGTTGAAGTTCCTCTTCTCACACCAAGCAAAATATGCTTTCCATGCTCTTTAATATACCCTACGACAGTGCTTCCCAACCTTTTTATCGCCGCGGACCGGTCAACGTTTGATAATTTTACCGCGACCCGCTGAGGGGGGAGGGGGGCGTTGATTGTTTATATTTTATATATATATATATAGATAGATAGATAGATAGATAGATAGATAGATAGATATATAGATAGATAGATAGAT